ATAATAAAAGTCACAGTTATTTAAAAAATATATGGTTTTTTCATCAGTTAGTTATATTTTCCTCCTATTTTCATTAGTTAGCAATTTGAAAATTAACAGTTTTGCTGTTCGTTAACGAATATTCCGTATATTTTGTTAAAGCTCAGTTTCATAATCATAATCCCGTGAATTTAAGCTGCGTCTTAAATCCGCTAAAAACCGATTTCAATTAAGCGCCGGCTTAAATCTTGAAACATAGAATACAATTTTAAGTGGAACCAACCATATTTAAGCCGTGACTCAAATTTAAACCACAGCTGAAATTCTTTAAATTTGGTCACTGTTTGTATAATCTTGATTCACTGTTGGCAGATTTAATTTAATGATCTATAATAACTATACACCCTTCCATATCCTCATTTTAGTTAGTCCTCCCCTGATCAAAGCTCCCTTCATCCCATGACTGGGTAAGATTACCAAGTAATATTAATTATTCTGCAGATTATCAAGCATTGATCTCGATATTCACAAAACAAGAGTTACCAGTTCTGAAACAATTTTTTACATTCATTACATTAAAATAAAAAATTACCAAAAAAATATTTATTTTAGATCTTGAAGGGAATGAGGTAACAAATAATGTTTTGTGGAAGCATAAATCTGCTAAGGTACTGTTCATTGTATAAAACAATTGGTCTATCATTTTATTATATGGATAATTTTCTTAACCCATAACAGGCATCAAACGCCCCCCATCCCCTTTCTAGTTTTTTGTGATAACACTCTCATTTTTAAAAGTCAAAAAAAATGTAAAAAATAATTTTTTTGTTTAAAACAAATATATAAGCGTGACACATGTTTCTACATCCATTTTTCAAGGGCTTTTCAAAAATACAGTTTTTAGATCTGTAGCTTAAGTCATAAGAAAGTTGCTATTTTAGTTTTTTTTACACACTCAGACTTTTTACCGCCCTGTACCCTACCCTATTCATAAAAAAAAATTTATAAAAAAATCCTTTAAATTACTATTTACTAAAAATTCACAGTGATAGTATCAAAAATGAGAGTGCTAGGGCAAAAAAAACAGACGAAATTTAAACTTGAGTTCTGAATTTAAATAGTCTTATGAACATCAATTGTGCAGTGTAAACAGTCCAATTTCACATAATAAGAGAGTTGACAACTATGAAAGCTATATGCTTTGTAAAAACAACATCAATTGCATATCAGTAATGCTTAAATGTCGTCTCCCTATTCTACAGTTTCCTGGTGATCACTGTGTATATGTGCGGCATTCAGCATTTATTTAGCAATATTTTGTTGAAACAAATACAGAATAGCTATTTCCTGTATGCAGTGTGCCATTCTTTTACTTTCATAATTACCGGAGATAAAATGTTTTTTCTTTAGAATGAGACATTTTGATGTATAAAATAAAATATAGAATATTTTTTTACTTTGATGTTTATTAAGCATATAATAATAGAGTTATAAAAACGTAAATTTTGAATTGACATATGTGAAAATAAGTTTTTATTGAAAAAATGTTTTACTGTAACGAAAAGTTACAATTTAAAGTGCCATGTATATACTAGATCTAATCTCAATTTCATTATTACATATTTATGGTTGTGTTTATACTTTTTTAATATTTTACCGCCGATCTTTGCTAACATTGCGACCCTTTGATCTTCCCCACAGAGGGAGTTTACATAACGTCCCTTAGAACAGAATTATGAAAAATAAACATCCGCTCTGCAAAGTTTTCTTTCTTCTGATAAGACGATAAAATTGTGTAAAATTTAAATTTCGGGAAATTAAAATTTTACTCAATCATAGATTCCCTTGGCCAAACTGAATTTCTCAGGCTCCTCTGGGATATCATTGTTTTAAGATTGGTTGCGTAATAGTTGAATATTGTCTGTTTAATACTTATATAATAATCTTGATACAATTTTATATCAATTTCTGGAGACAGAAACATCAGATAGATGTCTTATTTATTTTGTTCAGCTCCCGAGATTCTCAGGTTTCATCCTTACCCCCTATAATTTTTCCTTTACAGTCCCTTTAAGAATTAAATTTGAAATAAAAAAGTTGTCAATATCATATTGGTATAATCGCTTTCCACTGCACTATTAGATTCTTAACCCTATTCCTGCTAGGGGGGGGGGGTCGATTTGACCCCCCCCTGTAGTTTTTTTTACATAACTCAAAAAGTATTGGTCTGAGGCTGTTGAAATTTTCTGACTTTTCTTACATACCCAAAGCCCTCCCTTTAGGCCTAAAACTGGGCTTTAATACTAACTGCCTGAGTCCTCAGGCACACTGCCTGAATGACTGCTTTTGCCTGTAACAAAATAAATCTTTGTTTTGACCCACTTTCAGTTGTCAGATTTTGATAAAATTTAGCTTTTTGGAAAGCCTATGACATAAGGAAACGGATTGCACAAGTTTTGCGAAAAAAAATTGCAAATTTTTTGCAAACAACCTGTCAAAGGAAATTTGCACGTTTTTAGTTTTTCTTGATTAAAAATCAGGTTATTGAAAATTTTGCAAAAATTTTTGCATTTTTGAAATAGCATGGTCATGGGCTTTTCAAAAATGTATAATTTTTCATTTTTTGGACAAATTTTTGTTTGCAAACATTTTTACTATATAACTGGATTTTGTGATAAAAAATTCAATTTTTGCAAATTTGCAAATTTTTTTGCAGATTCTAAAAGTAGAGCACAAGAGCTTTCTAATGATGTATCTTTTGTCATATTTGGACATAAAACATGGGATTTAGAGGGAGGGTCAAATTGACCCCCCCCCCCAGCGTATCCTGGTTTTCAAGTACCCCAGCAGGGATAGGGTTAAAAGATGAGCAGAAAATTCCAGAAAAATGGAAAAGATGTAAAGTTTAATAGAACAATTTACATTCACAAGGAGGGGATTGATTTCTTCCATAATAGAAACTGTCTCATCTTTCATCTCAAACTCTTCTTAATTTTAATCTTGTTCGGTGTTCCCATTTTTTCTTAGAAATTTACTCAATCGTGTTCGGAGATTCATTTTTGCCCTGTATTAAATACTTTTCATTTTGTTAGGATGTATTTTTGTATTTCAAAAAGTATAAAAAAATAGGATATTTCAAATAGATTATCAAGTACAATAGGTGGCAACAGAAATGGATCAATTATACACGACGTCACAAGTGTCAAATATAACAAGGACAACGAAATTTTCTCCCATTAGTTGACATGTTTTTGAAGATTAAAAAAAAAAGTGTAAAAACAGAAAATAAATAACACACTGAATTGCACCTTGTTCACGGTTAAATAAGCTCTTTATTCTAAAATTATCACTTCAATTCTGCAGTTTTAGCTTGCAAGGAACCCTAGATGGAAGAAAAGGACTAAATAAATTCCGTACAGTCGTCTGTGAAGTCTCATCCTTTGAAGATCAAAGATAAAAGGTAAAATAAAGAAAATACAGACAAAGTAGATTATGAACAGGGGAATTTATGATAAACATAAGAAGTAAATTATGAACAGGGGAAAGGATGAAAAACAGAAGAAGTAAATTATGAACAGGGGAAAGGATGAAAAACAGAAGAAGTAAATTATGAACAGGAGAATTGATGAAAAACAGAAGAAGTAAATTATGAACAGGGGAATTTATGATAAACAGAAGAAGTAAATTATGAACAGAGGAATTGATGATAAACAGAATAAGTAAATTATGAACAGGGAAATTGATGATAAACAAAAGAAGTAAATTATGAACAGAAGAAGTAAATTATGAACAGGGGAATTGATGATAAACAGAAGAAGTAAATTATGAACAGGGGAATTGATGATAAACAGAAGAAGTAAATGATGATCAGGGGAATTGATGATAAACGGAAGAAGTAAATTATGAACAGGGGAATTGATGATAAACAGAAGAAATAAATTATGAACATGGGAATTGATGAAAAACAGAAGAAGTAAATTATGAACAGGGGAATTGATGATAAACAGAAGAAGTAAATTATGAACAGGGGAATTGATGATAAACGGAAGAAGTAAATAATTGAAACAGTAGAAAAGTAGACAATTGAATCAAGATTAGTAAAGTTGAAACAAGAGAGTAGGAAAAACAGAAGAAATAAACAAAAATATAGAAGGAAAACAAGGAAAAATACAGAAGGAAAACAAGGAAAAATAAGAAAAAATGTCGGAAAAAGAGGAGAAAATGTGTTTAAGTTTACGTTAATAAATGGTGAACGCTAAGAAGGCTGAATAAATACAGTTTGGTAAAATGTAGTAAAAATTTGTTTTCACCCATGGGTATAATTTATTCATGTTATCTCTGATGTTTATATATGAATATAATATATAATATATACTTGTAAACAAGAGTGTCTCTAAAAACTAGTAGTTTCTCACGTCATCCTTAATGTTTACATAAGAACAGGGTGTTTCCCACATCAAATTAGATCTTTTTCAGCTCTCAATTGCGATTTTGGGTAATAATCTGAAAATTTAAAAAGATTAAATCTTTTAAAAAATTCTGTAAGACTTATATAAATAATAAAGAATATACTTGTATAGGATGTCTCAAAAAACCAGTATTTAATGTGCGCCACAGTAAGTAAGTTAGATAATTTATTTATAAAGTATAAAAACAAAATACAAAAAATATTTAAAAGCTTCAAAAGATTTACATGCCAACGTTATTGCATAAATAACAGATAAGAGAAAGCTTAAAAATCGTCTTTGATTTTTGAAATAATTTGCAGCATTCACTTGTCAACCTTCTTTAATATTACCAGAGATATGATTTCAATTTATTAAATAAAACAATAATTATTTCAAAGATCAAAGACGATCTTCAAGTTGTCTCTCTAAATACTATCTAATACTGCATGGCACGCACCTCTGCCCCTTTAGTAAAAGTAAATTCAAACTAAAGTCTGACCGCATCAACCTTGTTGCACCGCCTAGTCCTATTGAGTGTCTGCTTTATTAACCCAATGTCTAGGCGATACAGTACAAACTGGGACCAGAAAGGTTGACCCGGCTCGGAAATTCGAATGTACTATGGCTGCCTGTGATGGGCCACACTGTGCTCTTAACTTCAATTAACGTCAAACTAAAGTAAATTTCAAGTAAGATTGAATTTTTAAATGTTTCCCATCATTATTCCTCTTATTGAATAAGAGCTATTCAGTTGCTGATATGTAACCAGTAGAATTTGCTTTTTTCATACTTGTGTGCAAGATGAAACTAGAGGAGCTACCAGGTCACAAAGTGTTTCCAGCGTCGCATAAATTTGTCCTTCTCCATCTGTTAATCCTTAATCCTTAATCCTTAATCCTTATCCATCTCTCTTCTCTTATTCTACATGAGGTAGGTCCCTTGAACCTGAAGGTAGGGCTGGAGGTAGGTCCCTTGAACCTGAGGGTTGGTAACCTGAACCTGAGGGTAGGGCTGGAGGTTGGTAACCTGAACCTGATGGTCGGTAACCTGAACCTGATGGTAGGGAACCTGAACCTGAGGGTAGGGCTGGAGGTAGGTATCCTGAAACTGAAGGTAGGACTGGAGGTATGTCACCTTGACCTGAGGGTAGGGCTAGAGATGGTTGAATTCTTGGAAAATGGTTTCTTTTCTTTTCCCTAGAGCTTGGTTGTGCCAGGTTTGCAGTTGAGGTTGGGGAATGACCTGAAATTTCAACAAAATTAAATGAAAATTTCAAATAATTAAAAATATTACCTATAAAGAAATGCTTTAGCTTTTAATATAATTAACGCTTCAGATTTCTTGGGGGGCGGGGGGCGGCTTCATAAGGTTTACACGAGAAGTTTGCAAAGATATGGGGATTAGAAAATCAGAGACTCAATTTATGTACAGTTGCTGGGAATCCTAATATAAGAGAAACAGGCAGTAGTGATATTCCCGTACAGTCGCTGGGAATCCTAATATAAGAGAAACAGGCAGTAGTGATATTCCTCTACAGTTGCTGGGAATCATAATATAGAGAACCAGGCAGTAGTGATATTTCCGTANGCTGGGAATCCTAATATAAGAGAAACAGGCAGTAGTGATATTCCCGTACAGTCGCTGGGAATCCTAATATAAGAGAAACAGGCAGTAGTGATATTCCCGTACAGTCGCTGGGAATCCTAATATAAGAGAAACAGGCAGTAGTGATATTCCTGTACAGTTGCTGGGAATCCTAATATAGAGAACCAGGCAGTAGTGATATTTCCGTACAGTCGTCTACGACGTCTCATCCTTTGTGGGTAACCCTGTATTATAATAAAAATCAAAAGGGGAATGTTCACATTTCCATACATTTCCATATCTAATTTTTTGAATGCAGGCCTGAATTGTGATCTAGTTTTTTTATCAAAGTGGGGGAAAAATAATTTTTCCCTTAATTTTTCAGACATTTTTTCAAAAACTTTGTGTTAGGTCCATGTTTACCTCACCAATTATTCTGTAAAAAAACTGAATTGATAAAGATAATTTCTTGCAAGTAATTCTTTTTTAGGACTAATTTTAGAACAATTAAACATTGATGTTTTTAATTTATTTTATATAATGTGTGTATGATTTATATAATTCATTAATCTATTTTTTTAAAAGTTTACAAATGTTTTTATAAGAATCCTTTATTCTAAGCTCAGTGATTCATCACCTAACTTAAATGTAAGATAATATTGTAGATAAATTATTATCATGTTTATTAAGAATGGTTTTCTTAGTTATATATATGTTTAATGTTTTGAATATTATCATGATTTTTATCAAATGGAAATAAATCCGATATTTTTTTGTAAAATTGGGAATCCGCAAAACCTATTTGGGAAAATCTACAAATCTACTGAACATCTACTGACTAAGGAGTACAAGCAAGTGTGAACGGGTGAGTATTAATAAAGGTTAATAGCGAAATCAAAGGATATATAAGTTTTCTATTGTTGTATCTAAAAATGAGAGTTTTTCTTCATACTTTGCCTTTGTTTAATGTCTAAATAATTTTTTTTCTAAACATTTACGTCTCTGAGTTTATTCGCGAATTTATAGCAGAACAAAGACAAAGTAGGAAGGAAACTCCCATTGTAAGATAAAACAACAAAAGAAACCTTATTTAAACATTTGTAAACTTTGAAAAAAATAATAAAATTGTATATAACATTTAGTCCAAAAAAAAAAGAATTACTTGTAAGAAATCATCTTTATCAATTCAGTTTTTTACAGAATAATTGGTGAGGTAAACATTGAAAAAATGCCTGAAAAATATTTTTTCCCCACATTTTGTTGTTTGATTCAAAACTAGATCACAATTCAGCTCTGCATGCAGAAATCAGAGTGAAATCTGTTGAAATAAAGTCGGAAGACGTCTTTGGCCTTTAGGAAGGGGAAAAGGGGGGGGGGGGGGAGGGTTTAAGGGGAGGGGGAAATGCAATATAGAGTCCAGAATTGAGTTTACTGTCCCAAAGTTTGTGACTTTACACACCCCACATGGACCTACCACAAAGTTTTTGGAAAATGTCAGAAACGTGCGGGAAAAATTATTTGTCCTACATTTTGTTGTTTGATTCAAAAACTAGATCACAAAATCAGGTCTGCATGCAAATAGGGGGGTAAATGGTATAAGGAGAGGGGGAAATTGATTATAGAGTCCAGAATTGAGTTTCCCGACCCAATGTTGATGACTTTAGACACCCCACATGGACCTAACACAAAGTTTTTAAAAAATCTCTAAATAATGTCTGAAAAATGCGGGAAAAATTATTTTTCCCCTACTTTGGTTTTTGATTAAAAAACTAGATCGCAATTCAGGCCTGCAATAGGATGGAAATAAAATATATGACTAAAATACATATTTGGCATAATAAATCTTTAGCTTTCGGAGAAGCAACAACTGGGTCTCAGAGGGCTGGGCACCTTTTCACTTTTATCTAGCCGTTTGCTGATGGATAGTTAAAATTCTGTTCGCTAATAGATATTTAAAATTCTGTTCGCTAATGGATATTTAAAATTCTGTTCACTAATGGATATTTAAATTTTTGTTCGCTAACGGATAGTTAAAATTCTGTTCGCTAACGGAAAGTTAAAGTTCTGTTCGCTAATAACGGATAGTTAAAATTCTGTTTGCTAATGGATAGTTAAAATTCTGTTCGCTAATGGATAGTTAAAATTCTGTTCACTAACGGATAGTTAAAATTCTGTTTGCTAATGGATATTTAAAATTCTGTTCGCTAATGGATATTTAAAATTCTGTTCACTAATGGATATTTAAAATTCTGTTCGCTAACGGACAGTTAAAATTCTGTTCGCTAACGGATAGTTAAAATTCTGTTCGCTAATGGATAGTTAAAATTCTGTTCGCTAATGGATAGTTAAAATCCTGTTCGCTAATGGATAATTAGAATTCTGTTCGCTAATGGATATTTAAAATTCTGTTCGCTAACGGATATTTAAAATTCTGTTCGCTAAAGGATAGTTAAAATTCTGTTCGCTAATAACGGATAGTTAAAATTCTGTTTGCTAATGGATAGTTAAAATTCTCTTCGCAAATGGAAAGTTAAAATTCTGTTTGCTAACGGATAGTTAAAATTCTGTTCACTAATGGATATTTAAAATTCTGTTCGCTAACGGATATTTAAAATTCTGTTCGCTAATGGATATTTAAAATTCTGTTCGCTAATGGATATTTAAAATTCTGTTCACTAATGGATATTCAAAATTCTGTTTGCTAATGGATAGTTAAAATTCTGTTCGCTAATAACGGATAGTTAAAATTCTGTTCGCTAATGGATAGTTAAAATTCTCTTCGCAAATGGATAGTTAAAATTCTGTTCGCTAACGGATAGTTAAAATTCTGTTCGCTAATGGATATTTAAAATTCTGTTCGCTAATGGATAGTTAAAATTCTGTTCGCTAATGGATATTTAAAATTCTGTTCGCTAATGGATATTTAAAATTCTGTTCACTAATGGATATTTAAAATTCTGTTCGCTAAAGGATAGTTAAAATTCTGTTCGCTAACAGATAGTCAAAATTCTGTTCGCTAATAACGGATAGTTAAAATTCTGTTCGCTAATGGATAGTTAAAATTCTGTTCGCTAACGGATAGTTAAAATTCTGTTTCGCTAACAGATAGTCAAAATTCTGTTCGCTAATAACGGATAGTTAAAATTCTGTTCGCTAATGGATAGTTAAAATTCTGTTCGCTAACGGATAGTTAAAATTCTGTTTGCTAATGGATAGTTCAAATTCGGTTTGCTAACGGATAGTTCAAATTCTGTCTGCTAATAACGGATAGTTCAAATTCTGTTCACTAATGGATAGTTAAAATTCTGTTCGCTAATGGATAGTTAAAATTCTGTTCGCTAACGGATAGTTAAAATTCTGTTCGCTAACGGATAGTTCAAATTCGGTTTGCTAACGGATAGTTAAAATCTTTTTGCAAACGAATAGTTAAAATTCTGTTCGCTATTGGCAAAAATTCTGTTGAAATTTTTTTCGTTTTTTTTATTTTCTGCAAGTTTCACACAATTTTAACACATAACGGCTTTTTGCGTTAGTTAACGATTTAGAGTTAACGTTTTTTTCCGGACTCTTTAATTTAAAAAAAGCTCTTTTCCCAGTCCTGTACTCTCATTAGGGGGTTCTTAAAGTATCCAGAGATTCAGGTTGATAGTAAAGATGGGCATTGTTTTTTGGAAAATTTTCGTGGAAAAGAGTGTGGATGGACAAACAAAATGGATCGTTCAGAGAAATGGAAAAATAATCGTTTAAAATCGTTCGAACGAACATGAAAAGATGAAAGTTTTTTACTGAACAAACAAATTTTCCAAAAGTTTATGAATTATATTTTTGATAAAACGATCGTTTTTTTACTAAACCAACAATTTATTAAATGGATCACATTTTTTCCTAGTCTTTGCAAGAGAGGAACAGAATACAGATGTGGTATTGATGTGATCAGCTATTAAGACAACAGGCAGAGAATAGATTCACTACTCTTTCTTAAAATTTTGCTAAATCTCAAATTTAAAATAAATATAAAAGAAATCTTTTCATAACTTTAATACTTGGAACCTTGGATAAAAAAAAACACTTCTATTCAAAACAAATTGACGTAACTAACTTTGACAATAACAAAAATGTTGAAGAAAAAAAATACTAGGGTTTTATACATATAAATAGATATTTAGTTGAAGAGGCTTAAATACACCAAACATATTTGAATTATATCATGTAGAACTGGAAAGGCTGGAAAGAAAAATGATAGATAAATGTTAAAAAAAATTTGAGCATTTTTAAAAAAACAAGAATTCAAAAGATGGAAATAAATTTGCTAAAGTTTAAATTTAATAATGCCTAATTTTGGTTAATGTCAGTTTCCTGTGTCAAGCCCCCCNCCCCCCGTATATATTCTGGATTTGAAATTAAAGTTCTGAAATCTAAAAGTTAGATAATTACTCACCAACGTATATTCCACCGTCGTCAATATCATCCAAATGACCCAAAATGGGACCAAGATTTCTTGGGTCCAGCGTTCTTAGCTTCCTTCCTCCTGGTCCAAGTTCCGATGTTCTGTAAGATATTTCCGTTTCCGGTTCTACCCTTGGCTCAGTACACCAGCCCTGAATTCTGAACTTGGAGTAGAGGAGAGGGAGGGTAGACTCTCTCTCCTTGATGGTTATGAGGATAAGGACGGAGAGTGGAACAACAACTATTATTGTGTTCTGAACTATTTGAAACACAGGTGAACAGGTTTTTATCAAAGTCAGGATGTGAAGTGTGATAAACCCGGCCATAACTAAACCTCCCAAACTAGCATATTTCAATGAATTAAACTGAAAACATTCTACCCAGGAAAAGGACTCACCACTTTCCATTCTTACTTTCCATTGGACATACACGTTTGTGAAGGTTAAAATGCCAAAATTCATGAAAATTGCAAAAATATTGTAAATGAGAATATAATCATTTGTCAATGGATTATCAGGAAGACAATTACTGAGGAATAGAATGGAAGGATTTAGTACTCCGTCAACTGAAATATAAAAAGGAGTATAGTAAATATTATTCAGTAAATATATTGGGAATACAAACCTGTCATAAAGTTGACAATAAAGAGTCCTGAGAAGAGAAAGATCTGATAGAATACGGCTACTAGCATACATCTTCTAGCGAGGTACTCCTGGTCAAACGAACTAATCCATGCATTCTAGAACAAAACACTTTAGAAAGTGATATCCTTTAGAAGTACATTTAATTGCTTCTAGAAATAAATACATGATAAATAACGAGGAGATTTGCGGATTTCATCATCCTCGTTCGGGGATTTCTTCCTCTATACAGTCCCATAATTTCAATGGAGAATTAATTGTTTGTTATATTTAAAATAAGCATTTTGAATTCTTTGTTCTTGTAAAATCCTGAAAAACGGCAGTTTTACTAAACTTAATGTAACAGAAGTCAAACTACAAAGTTTGATCTCGATATCTGTAGGCCTGGGCTTCGGCAACTAACCGTTAGTGGTGAAAGCTGTTAATGTTTTTGAGTTTAAACAAATTTTTAATCTTTCCATTAGATGGTATTCGAATTCAGGTTGGGTTAGGCTTAACAAATTAATGGCTTTTGCAGCTAACAAAAAGTTGCCAAGGCCTAAATACCGGAGAGGAATTAAGTTAATTCATTGGTCTTCACAAGATGGAGATCAATGCAATTTATATTGAGATTTACTACAATGAAACCCTTAATAACGAATACATCGAAAAAATTCATCAAATGTCGTATTCTTCACTTTCTGATAATGGAATGTTGCAGATATTTAGTTTTTTAATTAAATGATTAAATGGAACTCTTTAAAACTGTTCCTGCATATTCATGGCTATAATTTATTTATTTTCGCAAATACTGAAATTTACGTAATATAGTATAAAACTCATTGAAAAATTGTCAAGACGACATTTGATAAATTTTTTCGATGTATTCCTTCTTAAGGGCCTGGAGATATTATTAAATTAAATAAAAGATGAGAAAGCGGATTCTGGAGATATTACTAAATTAGATAAAAGTAGGGTTTCCACGAAATGGTTAAATCTTTTGCGCAAAATGTGCGCTCTTTTTGTGCAAATTTTTTTTTTTGCAAATTTTTGTGCTATTTTTGCGCATGAAACGCAATGCAATGAGTTTTGCGCTATTTTTTTTGCGCAAAACCGGACATATTTTTTGAGAAATTTGGGCATGAAACAAAATTTTAGTTTTGCGCAATTTGTGCAAAACTTTTTAGGCAAATTGTCAAAAATTGATATTCTAAGCTTAGAATTAAACAACTGAAGATTTATTCCAAAAAAAAAATATTAACATACGAGTATCATAACGATTATACTACACTCAATTGGTTACTTTCAGTTACAAAAAGTTTAAATTAAGGGACCAAAATTAATAAAATAGAAATTAGAGAGTGTGAAACTTGGCAATATTTTATTCCAATTAAATAATTTCAAGTGAATAACGTGAGCGCCCGTGAGATTTGAACTCTTCTTAACTGTCATTGGTCAATTATGTAATAGTGACTAATAGGAAGACATTCCAAAACAAGATTTTTCTAGAATTGAATTCTAAGAAACACACACAGTCACCAACCGTTTGATTTTTACAAAATTGCAGAATTGCGCAAAACTTGAGTTTTGCAAAAACGGCAATTTTGTGCGAAATGATTTTTGCAAATGATTGCGCAAATTGTTGTTTTTTCACGCAAAACTAATGCACAATGAAAGAAAAATTTTGCGTTTCGTTCCGCAAAAATTGCGCAAAAGTTTTGCGAATGGAAACCCTAGATAAAAGATGAGAAAGCGGAAACTGGAGATATTACTGAATTAGATAAAAGATGAGAAAGCAGAAACTGGAGATATTACTTAACCTGGGGAATAATGAGTAACCAGAAACTGGAGATATTACTAAACCTGGTGAATGATGAGTAAGTGGAAACTGGAGATATTACTAAATTAGATAAAAGATGAGAAAGCGGAAACTGGAGATATTACTAAACCTTGTGAATAATGAGTAACCAGAATCTGGAGATATTACTAAACCTGGTAAATGATAAGTAAGCGGAAACTGGAGATATTACTAAACCTGGTAAATGATGAGTAACCAGAAACTGAAGATATTACTAAATTAGATAAATGTTGAGAAAGTGGAAACTGGAGATATTACTAAATCTGGGGAATAATGAGTAACTGGAATCTGGAGATATAACTAAACCTGGGGAATAATTAACTGGAATCTGGAGATACTACTAAACCTGGTAAATGATGAGTAACCAGAAACTGGAGATATTACTAAACCTGCAAATGATGAGTAACCAGAAACTGGAGATATAACTAAACCTGGTAAATGATGAGTATCCAGAAACTGGAGATATTACTAAACCTGGTGAAAAATGAGTAACCGCAAACTGGAGATATTACTAAACCTTGTGAATGATGAGTAACCAGAAACTGGAGATATTACTAAACTTAATGATTGATGAGTAACCAGAAACTTGAGATATTACTAAACCTGGTGAATGATGAGTAACCGGAAACTGGAGATATTACTAAACCTGGTAAATGATGAGTAACCAGAAACTGGAGATATTACTGAAAAGCGTGTATATATATATATATATATTTCTAAACATTTATTTTATTTCAGCCTCTTTGCGTTCTTGATGAAGATACTTCCAGTGAGAGTGATGAAAGCACCGATGAAGGAGTCGACCTTGAGTCTGATAATTAGAAACACAACCTGAATGAGATTATTGATACCATCAATTTATCCTCAGAGAAGTTTTGTCATATATTGTTTAATCGTTCATTTTTAAATTGTCATCAAAATTACTTTTAGTTCACCAATCTATAATTATTTTGTAATAATGCCTGATGTATTAACGTTAATTACCCTAATTACCTGTTTGAATTACGAGCCGAGTCTTTCCCCCCTCCCTTTTTGTATCAATACCCTTTTGACCCCTCCTACATGAAGGCCTTAATTGCACCTACGAAGCAGGCCTCCCCTCCCTTTGTATCTATACCCTTTTTTCCCCCCTTTTCTAGAAGGCCCTAATTGCCCCTACGAACCAGGCCTCCCCTCCCTTTTTGCAAATACCCTTTTTCCCCCCTTTCAAACCCTATATAAAGGCCCCTTTGACCACTGCCAGAGCAGTGTGTGAAATGGTTTTAGTCCGAACGCCAGAGCAGTGTGTGACCTAATTTTCAGCCAGAAAATTAATGATAGCTCATTCAAATTCAAGGGTAAACAGTTATTTTCATTTTATATCTTCAATTTTTCCCCCTCCTATCCCCCTTTTGAATTCTTGGCCTTTTTATTATTGTATTATTATGTTCATGAAAGGTATCTATTTAGTTTTAGTGTATTAAGTACTTTTAAGCTTTTCTATTCTGTTATAACCACCAAATTGTATTCAATAAATAAGTAAATTATTATCTTTTAACTTTGGGAGGTTAATAGGCTAAGCTTAGGTAGCTTGCGTACAGGAAGTTTTTTTTAAGATTGCTAGATTTTGTTAATACCATAATTGGATTGAATATCCTTACAAAATAGTTTAAATAGCAATAAGCGTTAAAAAGATTCTCCCCTTAAACATAAGAAAGATAGTTTATGAAAGTTTAATAAAATCTCAATTAGAGTATGGTATTTTAGCATGGGGGTAATCAACAAACAATAAAATAGGAAAATTATTTAAACTTCAAAAGAAAGCAATACGGACTTTGTCAGATAAAGGATATTCACAGCAAAATATAAATGAAAGAGTTCATCATGGATTACAGGATGATATAAATAAAGTTAACACACAGTCAGTCAAAGATGCACTAAATAAAATGAAAGCAATGAAAAGTGATGCATTACTTGACTTCAGCTCTGACTGCTTAATGAATGCATCTAACAAGTTAATAGATCATGTGACCACCCTATTTAAATGGTTTTTGGCTACAGGCAAAATTCCTGCTTTTTTTCTACTGTGCACATTAGTGCCCATAGTACAACTTAGATGACATTGCTATCAGTGACAATTACAGGGCAATTGCCATTGGCAGCTTGATTCTAAAATGGTTTGACTGGTTGATATTAATTCTAAACTCTGATAAGTTGACCACAGATGAACTTCAGTTTAGTTTTCAGAAGCTAGCCAGTACTACAATGTGCAGCTGGGGGGTCAACTCTGTAGTGGATTATTACAACAGAGCTGGTAGAGCAGTTTATGCTTGTGCAATGGATCTGAGTAAGGCATTTGATCTTGTGTCATGGGAAGTGCTCTTCACAGAGTTATTGGAGAGGGGTGTTTCACCTCTAGCATTAAGGTGTTTAATGTTCATTTACTCAAATCAAAAATGTAATGTTAGATGGGGTAATGCGTTCTCAAATACCTTCAATGTACAAAATGGAGTCAGACAAGGAGCAGTTTCTTCCCCTGTGCTATTCTGTAATTACATTGACAAAATTATCAAGTTATTACGATGTTCAACAATTGGATGCCAAATCCAGGTTGTCTATATGGGCTTCAGGGTATATGCAGATGATATTATTCTGCTTTCTCCTTGCAGAACAGGTCTTCAGGAAATGGTGAAAATTTGTGAAAATTTTGCCAAAGCTACTAAACTGAAATTTAGTACAAATATTCGAATCGAAAAATGTAAAACTAAATGCCTTATTTTTTCTAAAGAAAGGATTAATTATAATGAAATAACCCCAATTTTATTGAATGAATTACCTTTACCATTTGTTAACGACTTAAACCATTTAGGAAATGTTCTGCAAAGTGATAATTCAATGACCATTGATTGCAATAAAAACGAGCTATTTTCATTTCAAAAATTCATTCCCTTAACCAAGATTTTATTTTAACAGTCCTGATGTTATTTTGAAACTGATAATTTTTACTGTTGTAGTTTTTATGGATCTAGTGTTACATATGAAAGAAAAATGAATAAATAAATCAATGCAACTACTCATTTGATTGAATATTCGACGAGTTGGTTTTTCTTACAGTTTATTATTATTTACAAAGATACAAAAACTAAAGGAAAATACTATACGAATCAAATATTATGAATTGAGAATGGAACAGAGTGATGGGAGAACTTCAGGGGATTGCAGGCCCGTAGCCAGGATTTGACCAGGGGGGGTGCAATAAGATGCGCCGCCGCCGAAAATTTTTTTTTGAGTGTTTTTAATGATTTTTTAAACAAT